ATTTGTGATTCCGCAAAGTATGGATATTGTGAAAGCCTTGCAGATAAATAAGGAGACATACTGCATCGGCAGAAGTGTTTTTTTTAGTTACGTCGGACAGAAGCCTTTGCATAATTATCTCAGGAGGAGCAGGGGCGGAGAATGTTAAAATAACACCGCTTCATTTTACTGACGTGCCGCGAGTCTGTTGTTCTAACGAGTTTCAGAGTTGGGAGAAAAGGGTTTCTCTCTGGAAACTTTGGGGGGTATTGTTCTTTTAAAACGTCGTCTTTTCTTAGGGATGAAGTGGAGCCGGACGACTGGTTTATTGTTCATGCACCGAAAGAGTGCTAGTTAATTGGAGTACAGCTTTGTCGAGAAGCACCATGAAGTGTTTTCAGAAACATCAGAAAACAAGTTCCCAGAAGTGTTTATGCACTTTAATCTGAGCCCCTGGTGTATTTCAATGAGAATCAATCCCCTCCTATCCAATGAACGTGCGCTATTTAAGCTCAGAAAAATGTAAGTCGCGTGTAACAAAACAAAAGTTAATATCAAGTAAGCATTCTTTCTGAGACAAAATTTAGGAGAGCGCATATGCACCTTAACTGAATACAAGTAACTTCATTAACCATCAAATGCGGTTTCGTTAAGCTATGTATTAGAAAGCTATTCACGGGGTGTTTTCGAAGACGGCAAATAATGAAAAAAAGAAAGGAGACTGAATTGAGAACTGTTTTTTTTTTCGCTAGAACTTCACCCACCGCGGCGACCGCCAGAACGAGAGCAAATTAATTACCCTAAGTAAATGAATTAGCTAGTTAAATATTCGCTTTAGAGGGCAAATTCTATTAGAAATGTGCTAACAGTCTCCGAAATACGCGGATCGGTTGTTAAAATTAACGCAAGTAGACTCGTCTCCCACAGTATTCTCTGGCGATCTTTGGCTGCCAAGTTTCCGCCTTAACAAAACTAACACAAAAAGATGGCGGAAAGCTGAGAGTCCAAAAAGACAGCAGAGTAAGGGCGCGCCTTCTCTACGGCCGCGTGACCCTTCCCCTGCCCCATCCCCCCGTCCTCTGCGGAGGCTGATGTACGTTCCGGGAGGGACTTCCGCCCCTGTTTTTTTCGTCTTGTTTTGTTGTCTTGCCGTTTGGTATGGTAAAGCAGAATTTCATTGTGTGAAGGGGAGGCACCACTATTGCATGTTTGACGACATGCAACACATATCTTAATGAAATGCACCAATTGAAGCGAATATCTAAAAACGTCTTCAGTAAATATTAGCTAAATGATTTGTTAATGATCACTTTACACTTACTAGCTGAAGTGTGCCGCAGTTGGTAACGTTATTCCGGAGGAAATAATTCTACATCGACACTGTCCTTTTAATAGTTTGCCCTCTTAGAAAAAAATAACACCCTGTGTAATCATTCCTATTCCGGAATGTACTGATACTATCCCTAAAGCTATTAAATCTATCCTGGCTAAGGCATTGAGATTTTTTTTTAAATTTTTTTAGAGGTATGATTGCAAGTTTTTGCCTTATCCGATTTGTCATCTCTCGGGCTTGAACCACTGTGTTTTAGGCGAAAGATATATCGAATCAAAATGTTCCACAGGATCGTCAATGAAGACTGCGGCATCGTGGGAAGTTAATACATTTTATTTTCTACTACCACTCGCACCAGACGATCTCATTTATTAATTTATGTTCCATTTCAGTGTCATATATATTGTTTAAAAAAAATATTTTTTCGGGAAACTTTTGATGACTGGGGTGAAATTGACGGACAGATACGTATAACTTCTAGTGTTGATTTTATTAGCGCAATTAAAGCTGTCTTTCCCTATTGCATGTCGTTTTCAGTGAATAATTTTCACGGGCATCTTGTTTTTTTGTGTTGTTTTCTTTATGGATTTGTATTTTCTACTGTAATGACCTCATATAAGGTCGCAGTATGTATAAATAAATTAATAAAATATATTTCACGCGGCTATGCAGTTTCAAGAAATCACACACACCTGAAATACTTTACAGGTTTTAAGTTTTTTTTTACAGAACAAAATACCGAGCTAGTGTATATTTAATAACATGTGCGTTACTGTTTGGTAACCATCATGGTGTCGCTTGCGGCATGAACCAGTTAACTATGTTTTTTTATTTATAGTAAAAATAAATGTCCTCAAGATTCCGGATGGTGGTTTCAATTATATATATATATATATATATATATATATATATATATATATATATATATATATATATATATATATATATATATACATATATTATTTGCCTACCGGTACCAGCGGAGTCAAGCTGTGTATTTTTCTAATCGCTGTTCTGTTTGCTGTCTGGATCGCGCGTGTGTGCTATCTTCAGCTGCATCGTTTTCGCTCTTCTTAAGGATCCACATGATCACACTTCGTCTAAATTCTAAATTGTAACCTGTGTTAGTGGACACTACCAAAACACAGGTTTTACAATGTGTAAACCTTGACTTTAAAAAGTATTTTGATGCCTTCTCAAATGAATAATATTACCCCCACGAAGTTCAAATTGTCGAATGTAGGTGGACAATGCTTCCTCGACGCCAGATAATCTAAATCTTTACACAGTGCTAGATTGAAGAAAAAGAACGAATGTGTCATTACTGCTCACTAACCCTTCGGTGAAGATATATAATGTAGGTTAAGGTTAAGAAACATGCGTGGGGTCAGCCTAGAACATCTTATTATCGCTTAAATTCGAATAAGATTAGCCGATGAACGACGAACTGCAAACCATAAAGCAAAGAGTGCGAACATAAAAAGTACGGCTCTCCTTCGTCAAGCAGTCAGTAACCGTAGCAGTATGTTTAATAGCAATATTTATTTTGTTGATCATGAGCGTATTACGTAACACATTTACCTAATAATCTGCCCCACAAAATTGAGCGCACGGCTTGTCAGTGTGCCCAGGATGACCTTCGAGCAGATCTCTGTAGCAGTCGTTATACCACTTCAGCCATAAATCCATTTGCAACACTTGCTCACACCCAACAAACACATCCCCCAAAACAAAACATCTAAAAGAAACATAAAATGCATTTGAACAGAAGTCACTCTACATGTTTGTAAGTCACACCGAAGTCTCCAAACCCTGGTCCGCGGGCGAAATTCGGCCCGCAGAGGGGTTCTGGCCCTGCAGGGATGGCTGCGGTCTTTCCTTGACGCCCGGCCTGTTGTCCGGTGCTGCTAACCCAAAAAGAAGCGCGTGAAAAAGAAAACTAAGAAGGAAAGAAAGCAGTGGCTGCCACGCGCATTAAAATTGCCAAAGAAGATTGAAATAATGAGAGAGCACTTCAATAAAATGCAGGTTCTATCTTCAAGTTATGTTTATTGCACGTAGTCATCACTAGCATTAGTATTATTAGTCACGTGATCCTGTCTATGTAACTATGTTAAAATTCCTTTGTGTTCTCATGCATACTGTGCCTAGTGTCTTGAGCAAAACTATTGCATAATGTTATCATTCTACCTTTATCAATAATCTACTGTCATATGTACGTATGCCAAATTTTCTATGCTCTTTGATGTATTCCTGATGCGTTTTCTGGGCCACAGTGTAACAGTGTAGTGATTAGCAACATGTTCGACTAAAGATATATTATACTTATTTGTCCGGCTTACATTTTTTAAATATTTTTATTATAGTTTAAGTTCCTGCACTTAAATGCTAATTTGGGTTTGTTTATGTAGTATTTTTCTTATTTATATTGTGTTGGGTAAAGCACATATAAAACGAACTTGATTTAAAGTGCAAACTAATTGAGAGGTCATGTACTCTGAGTAAAGAAGTAAGTACATGGAGTGCAATGTACTGGAATCAAAGTACCATAACTGAAATATAATTTCAAGGTAAAGAGGTAATACGTTTTAACACAATATTTCGTGATGCCCTTTCATTTCCTATGCGGCGTGCGAGTCCGTGTGCTCTTTGCGCACCTCGCGACTTTGTTTACCCTCTAGATATGCCCATGTGCTTTTGTTTCCCCTCGACCTCAACCAATGACGGGGCGCGCTTGGCTGCCAGGTCACAGGGCGTTCCTTGCGCGGGCTTAACGCTACCCTGTGATTGATATGCCCTTCCTTGCACTACGATTCGTCGAAGGCACATTTTGGAACACTTGCCCTACGTATACAGTTTTTTTTTAAAATTCTATGGATTGGCCCAGGGGTAATCGGACGTGCATTAGTTATTTTCCAGAATAGCTGCGAATATTGGATGAAGTCAAGAGCTTCAGAATCGTCAAGCATTATTTTGTGCACTTTAACCGGATAAAATTTAAGGAATGCATTTTGAAGTCGGGGTTTGAAGTTTCGTCCAAAAGTACCAGAACAAATACTTTAAGTGCATGTACATACTCAGATAATGTACTTCAAGTAAATTACATGTATTCTAAACCTGGATGAAGTGGTACTTTAAGTACAATGTACTTAAAGTACTTCCTATTACTGATATTGTCTTATTTATTTCCGGCCCTCCAGAGTGCGAGATGTTTTTAATCAGGCTCTTTAGCCAAAGAGTTTGGAGACCGCTGATTTCCACTATTATTTACGTTTGGTATATCTTTTCGCATAGATGATACATAAATTAGGTGGTGTGGTAGCTTATTGAAGCAGAAAAGTATACAAGGCAATTATATCTGGGGGGGGGGGGGGGGCTCACCTTTTTTAATTTGCGTATCATACCTTTTTTGATGCGTCTCTACACGATACTTTATTTTGACAGGTTTCAAACTTTTGAAGAATGCTTACGCTTTAATATATGCTATTCGTATGGTTTAAGGAAGGACTGTAGGCCTTTTTCTGCAATTTTTGCGGTTATTGCTTAACTGCCAGATAATTATAAATGCTGTGCTAACCAATATATTCTTAGTAGTTAATAGTCTGACTACGGAGAACCAAAAGTCTCACTTGCTATACTTGTCTCATTCCTGAACTAAAAAAATGTTCAATGCACATACTCCCGGCAGCCTTAATCCGGCTTCAAGGGATACTGGAGCTTCAATCTCCGGAAACGGGGTTGCCCGTTTCCGTCACCCTGAGGATCATCCCACCGGACCACGATCTCAAGCCGGTGCTCAGAGACATTGCCAAGGCTGGAGAGAGCAACTTGCTTCTTGACGTAGCCGCAAGAAGACTCGAAGAACTTCTCAAATATGTAAGTTAAGATTAGCTTTGCCAATGTGTGTTCTCGAGAGCTATGTGCAATATCATTTGTTCGTTATTACTAAACAGATTTACCTCGCCCAATAGAAAAATAACAATTGGCTGGGGCATTACCTGCTGTAAAAATATCTTGACTCCAAACGTTTCTAATACTTACAGCAGTATTACTATCGGGTACAAATGAAATACGAACAGCGGAGAGCGTAGCCTTCGAGACATGCTGCGCAACCTAGAGGCAGCTCGGAACTGTTGAAACCACATAGTCGAGAGTTGAACCGCGTGGATGTGCACATTAAAGTAGGCGCGCACCTTCGCAGCCCGCTTCCACCCCGTAGTTTGATTATTTTCTAGTTTCTTTTAGGTAGTGCAACATGTATCGAAGGAAACACGCTCCGCTGTTCGCATTTCATTAGTACTTGATATTACAAAAGTAAAATTGTTTACATAGAAGTTACAAGAAGAATGTTATGTTGTTACTTACTGTATAATTCTCCTCTTTTAATTTATATTACTTCAGAACCAACTGTTTGGTCGATATGGTATGTAATAAGAGCCACAACTATCTTCCTTCCGTGGGTAACCCTACCGAAAAACTCAGTATAACTTTTCACTACTTTGATTATGGAACTAAAAATATGTTTCTGGAAAACTAAAATCCAGATTAAAGACTAAGGTATATATGAAAAAAAAAGTTGAAACCAACCACCCAATTATGAGACCTCATTCTGTTTTGAAAACGTAGCTGCCTTGATGTATGAAGTCAAATTATCAGTAAAGTTTATTACCTGATATTGGCCATAACAGCTATGCACATGTTTGCTTTATTTTCTGCAGGCACAAAAGATTGGAATTGTCACCGAGTACCACAACTACATCGTATCCACATTGGTAAGCAGTAGACATTATACGCCTCAGCATACACACGTCAATAGTGATCAGTGCAATAGCCTAAATCTAAATAAAATAGAGGTGGCAACAGTAACTTTTTTTGTAATTTGCCCATGCTAGCTAGTGTTAAGTATCTTTAAAAGGTATGATTGTACGCGGAAATGTAGCAAAGAAAATAACCATATGAGGTTAAGCATAAGCGTTCGCGAAACACGACCAAAGGTTTTCGGGGTGTGGTTGTATACTACCGAGGTCTCTGGCAGGTTTACTTTTATCAAAGATGCTTTTGACGTTGTCAAAGGTTTATTGAATTCCGATTTTAGTAAAGTGCTCAGATCTCAGGAAAAAGGTCAGTGATAAAGGAACATTTGTATGCTTTCAGAAAAAAAGTTTGACGTAGATATGCTATCTAGGTTCAGCTGCTGTCGTCGCCGAGCAGTGTGTCACGCTTCAGAGTTCAACCGTTAGAGTAGAAAAATAATGCACGATGATGGAAGGAATACAACGGGAGAAGAAAGAAGAACACTAAGAACCTAATATGCAAGTGTACAGAAGTTATCACTACTCTCCTATATTCGTTTGCACGAGACGATCTGATACTAGGTCTCTACTGTTGATGGTTTAACCCAGGTCGGCCAGGTCAGTCTGCGTCTTGAAATACTTGGTTATAGTCCCGTTTTTTGTCAGTGCCAGAAGTCGCTCTCACTGGTTTGAGTCAACCCTAATACCTTACTCGCATCTTCATCGGCAACTTTGTGGTTGCTCAGGTCGCTGCCGGGAGTCGCTGCCACTGGTTTCGTTCACCACCGACGCCATAACTTTTAACTTTTTCACCACCTTGGTTGTTCCTCGGTTCCCTGCCGAAAGTCCACACCAGCATCGGGTCCATGCCGAGATGTCCTTTCCACTTCTTCGGTGGCCGCCGAGCTTTCCCTGGGTCGTTGCCGGGTTACTTTCAGTGTATCGGGGCACCCTCCCGAAGCTAGCCCCTCTTCGGGGCGCCGACAATATCTGGGCTCCGCTGCTTCCTAATTATATTTGTCATGCTTGCGCCTCTTGTCCGCTTCCTTCTTCTTTCGGTCGGCTGTGAGCGTGACACACTGTTGTAAAAACCATATTACACTCCATATTTAGCCAATCATCAACTAAATGTATGAATATTTAATTATAAATGTATGAATCTTCATTGCAGCACATTTACTTTTATTGCCTTCTTTTTACCGCAAACCTCAGTTGACTTGAATCGCCTTCCCGCAGTCACAGTTTCAATTACTAACATTTGATTTTAGAATTCTAAAGACTAAATAGTTACTAATTTTGTATTTTTGCCTTTTTATTGATTTTTTAAAATTTAGATGTTCATGTTACAGAGCCCACTCCTGTCTGTATGGCCTTGGGGATCTGAGAGAAACATAAATGAAATAAAATGTATATAGGAATACCACCTCCAGTTGGATTTTCAATTTGCAAATTTATAAAGAAGATTAACTAATAAATGAGAGGCATATTACATACAAAAACTTATGCAAGTCAAAAGCCAAGCACGCAAGTTTATGAAAAAAAAGCTATTGACACTCCTCAACATGTCTTAGTTTCTGCGGAGAATATTTGCATTATTTTTCATTATTTTGCTTTTCGCGTTAATGAGTTCAAAGACAATTCCTGATGAAAGAGTTGCACCCTCTACGGTTTGTGCAGGCGGTAAAGGTTTGGCTTCTATTTATTACCTTTTGAACTCCTAAGAATGCTTGAGGCTCCGTGGCTACATAACTACTTTTTACATCTTGCTTACCGTAGAAAGCACGAAATAATAGGGAGTTTTAGGAAACCGTTTTCGCACACACCACACGGTACGATGGGCCCTCCAGTACGCACTGCGCATGCGCTACGTCAGAAGACTCGCAAATGCGGACTTCGAACTGGGAGGCCATCGTACCGTATCAGATGTGCAAAAACGTTTCCCTAAAACCCCCTATTGGTATGACCGTCCGCCTCTATAGATACCCGGGCCGCGTGCATGTAAACAGTAAATCGTATTTGTTCAATTATATCGTATAAATTATTGTGCGGTGACGAAGAAGAGCCATTTCACAACAAATTATGTATTATTTGTGAGCACTCCAGGAGCAAAAGGCTGGTATCATCGTGCTATGCCATGTTTTATATCACCTTATGGAGAAAACTGACGGAAAAAGCTGCGCCGCCAGAAAACAATTATACCGAGACCTGCATTAAAATCTAGGACAGGGGTGACCTCTTCAAGTTGTAATTTAAAGTATATCCTAGAAGAATGAAAGAATTTAAAAAAAAGAAATTTGATTATCTTAGTAGATTTGCTTTCAGGTTTGCCCGCTTAGCACCGCTGCTTCTACTTATACAATATTTACACATATATTAGGTTCCCGTTCCAACTCGAGTATTAAACACACTCACACTAACTGTGGACACAATTGAAGCCTCGGACCAAGTAATTAGAAAAGAGGAAAAACCAATGTTTATATTTGCATGCCCCTCGTTTTTTATGTCCTTTCTGCTTCCATGTTATCAAACTGCATAATAACTGCGCAAAACGCTAGCACAAATAAAACCGGTCACCAGTTACGCGGAAAAGATACGTATTCTCGAAAAACATGCGTGAGTGTATTTTCTTGTAAAATAGGGATGCAGCCAATCACGGCGAACAAAAGTAGGATCCTCGCGAATGAAGATGCTCAGAAAAAGATTATATGTGATGAAGAAATGCAATAAGCACAAGAATAATGTACGAGCGAAACTCCATGCTCATTGATCGTGAACACGTCGCAAACTTTTCGGACATAATCGTGTTCCCGAGCATTGCCATTTGCACGTGTGCACCTGTATTTCGCCGTTACTGGTTGTATCCGCGTACATCAGTAAAGAGAACGCACATATTATTTTAAATAAAATGTGGTGTCTATGTGTGTTGCATATAAATGTTGTGCTTACCTTTTGCTTTGTTGTTCTCATGTTAGTCTCAGGTTAGCAAGTCCGCCTGTGCGCTTACTATTCTTTTCTATTACCCATTTCTTTTTCACTGTAGCCCCTTAAGAGAACACATGCATTTACCTGGCCAAAACTTTCGCCGCCTTCTTAGTTCCACCTTTTCGTTATCTAAATAAGGTTAATTAATAACAATGCGTGCTTTAAGCTCTGGAATATATATCCCCCTTTTCACTACAGCATAAATTGCGTTGATGCTAGATCATTAATTTCGCTGATTACATAAAAAAAAAGCTATTTATTATTGCTAAACACATTCAAACCAAAATCCGGAAATAACTTTTCCCATCTGAAGATTTCCGCCACTATTGCGTCACCAGGCATTTTACCAGCTTAAATAAAGCTTACGTGAATACTTATGGTATTTTAATTATTATTGCTCTAAAAGTGCCTTGTAGTATATTTTATTACTAGCACGGAGTTTTTCTGGGCATCTGAGTGGATAATAGGAATATTTTTAGAAGTGAATCTAAAGGCCTATTTTCAATTAACAGCAATAAAAACTCTATAGTCAAACTAAATACGGTTGGCGTTACCTTTCACTAACGCTCTGCATATCCAACTCGATGGGCATAAAAATTAAGAAAATAAACAAAGCATAACTAGGGCAAATCAGTGCGATATCATGTATGGGATTCGACTAATACGCTTACACAATTTCTCAACCTATTCAGGACCTTCACACTGTTGACCTGTCCGACTTTCGGCATTCTCGTACAAACCTCACCGGATTCGAACTGCTGGAGCGAGAGCTCTGGGAACAGGACCCCGGGGTAACAAGAGAGGCCTACGCCAGCATGGGAATCTACCCTGTTTTCCTCCGGACCAGACCCACCCGGAAACCTCTAAATGTGAGTGCTTAATTTCAAAGTTTGTGTACTGTTTAAATCAAACGTGCGCAGAAAATTTAATTTACGTAAGCTTCAGGTCAGGGACCGCGCTATGCTGCCTCCTTCTGGGTTACTCATGAATACATTGAAGTGCTCATGAGCTCTCATGCTTGACCAGACACTAGGCTTGTGAATATTTGAGTCGTTCAAGATAATGCTTAGGGATATTAATCAGAATGCTGCCTCATGAAGTGCAGTGCATGAATCAGTTTTAGAGCGGAGCTCTTAAGCGTCCGTTTCCATGTTTCGTTTCGTCGGCGTCGGCGTCGGCGTAACCGCTCTAAATGCAGCGGGAAAATTGACGTCACGTGACATCAACACCAATTCAATTCCCCGCTACATTAGCATGACATTTTCTGATGTACCGGAGCGTGATCACAATTGTCGCGCTAAATATAGCGGGAACACAAATTCTGTTTCCCCGCTAAATTTAGGGAAACTGAATTGGTTTTTAGGTCACGTGGCGTAAATTTTTCAGCTAAGTTTAGCGGGGAAACTGTGGGAGGAGGGGAGGTATGGAGAAGGATGGGAGGGTACAGAGGAGGAAACGGGGAGGGTAGGGAGGAGGAAGAGGAGGAGAGGAGGAGGAGAGGACGGGGCGGAGGATGAGAAGAGGAGAAGGGGGGAGGGGAGGAAAAGAGATGAAACCGGCGGTACATCCTGGGCTTCGGAGTCAGCAGCAAGGTGTTTTCTTCCACGGCATCAACGCGTTTGTGAGTCGTCGGCGCACACGAGTTGAACGCGGGGGATTATGTTGAAAAGCTCCGAATTTCAATTTAATACTGTTCTAATATTTTAAAGAAAACAAATATATTTCGGTGTCTGTTTTTTACTCTGTCTTGTATTTGTGTGCCAACGCATGCCTAAAAGCGGACATATCACATCTAGAAAAAAACATCAAAAAGCCTAATTCAGCAGAGCGAAGTGTTGCTCTTGTTTAAAGAAAAATCTTGCAGCCCTCGCGGAAAATACTGCGATAAACTCTAATTGCTTAATATATATCACTGCTCTGGGCACAATAGGCAGTGCTAAGAAATGCCTTTCTGTTTGCATTTAAAGAAAAACACGTTCTTGTCGTTTGAAACTTTTCTGTGCCACAAATATTTGGTTTCGAGTAAAAATAACTTCTGTGAATGAAGGTAGTTAACCAAGTCACCAACTTAGGGCTAAACGTTGAACTTCGTAAAGATGTGTAAAATGAAATGTTAAAACAATTGATATGACAAAATCAGAGCCACGTGCTTTGAGCCCGCACTGTGTACGCAGGATTGCAAAAAAAAACAAAAAACACTAGAGCAGCCACCAGCGGATCATCAGTGACAGTCTCAGAAGCCCTTATCTCTCCAAACAGCGATTGAACAAATATAACCTTACAAACCAGCATCACCATGTGTTGGCTAAACTAGAACGACAGATAATTGTGTACTCTAGTTACCCAACACGATGCTTGTTGTGCCATTAGCGAATTTTTTGTTTTTTTCTTTTGTTTGCAAGATATGAAATAATGTGGAGTTTAAACAAAAATAACCGAGCGAGATGATTTATTTAGCACAGCAAACCCGTCATAATACAGGCCTCAGTTAAATTGCAGATTGTTGACTCTTGCGGGTGATATGACCTACAACAAAGTTGTCCAACAATCCAACCGGGAAACCATTTTTTTGTCGAATTAAGTTTAAGTCAAGCCTGGCCTATCAAATGGAACCTTTTCGGAAGGGTGGTAGATAAATTAAAACTTGACGTCTGTGTCTCCGGGGAAGGGGGGGGGGGGGGGGGGGGGGGGAAGGGCGAGGGAGAGGCGAAATACATTCGGTTACAAAACTGCGTTTGAAATATCGGTAATATTTTTGCTGTTTCCCAAAATAATTTAAGATGCACCAGCAATATACTATTGGTAGTCTGTACCCTAAATCGTCCTAGTAGTAAACATTTTTTTCTTTGGTTTGTGTGAAGTTAGACATGTTTGTTAATGCTAAATGAGTATGGTAATAGGTTTAAAATAGAAGAACGATGGTCTGAAGGTTTGCGTCTTTACAATTTAACGATTCAATACTACTTTTAGCCACGATTTGTACAGGGTGTCCCCCCCAAGAAATTACAGGGATTGTTTTTCACCGCAAAAATAAACTACACATCGCCGACCGCTCATTCTCCGCCCAAAGGTAGCGCTAAATGTCACAACCAGATGCCAAAGTTTCAACCCGATCCAGTACCTTAATCAAAAATTATAAGTGATTTTCTGAAAATTTCAATGGGAAAATGCAGCCCATTTTCGCCCGTTTTCGGCTTCTGGCTCCCCATAGAGCCCCATGTATTCGAAAACTTCGTCGGCCACCGTTTCCTCATTGAAATTTTCAGAAAATTCTTCATAACTTTCGATTAAGACATCGGATCGGGCTGAAACTTGGCGACCGGTGGTGACCTCTAGCGCTACCCTTGGACGGAAAATTAGCGTTCAGCGATGCCTAGTTTATTTTTGGGGTAAAAAAAGAAAAAAACTGTAATTTTTGGGGGGAGACACCCTGTATATGTGCACCACAAGCGCTGAAAATTCCACCTTTAATGAAGCCATGTAAGCGCTGCCATGATTCTTAGCTAAAAGACCCGCGCATCTCGCCTTGGTTTTTGAAACTGCATAATGCTCTGTTTTAGACCTAATTTAGAGACGATACGCCAGAGACATGCTTTCAACACGATGCGCATATCTATTTGTTGAATATTGTACATATTGTGCTCGTTGAAGTAGAGTAATATTGATGCTTACAGTGGCAGTGAAGTTGTTGAAAACTTGAGGCCACTGGAATCATTGGCGAGACCTTTCATATATATTCCTTTGTTTTCGTCTGAAAAGGCCGACATTTTTATTATATATAAAAAAATAAACTGTTGTCGGATGACAGACGAGAACAGTTTCGCATCGTTATCTAATATAGACCACACACACACACACACAAAGACGATATTTGGGTTAGCTATATGTAAACGAAAAAGAACGTATATCGCTACTTTGGAAACTGAGGTTCAGCTTACAAAAAAAAAATAGCCGTTTTTATTCTTCGCGTATTTATTATGGAATGACAATTGTCTTTTCTAGGACAGAAAGGCATTCAAAGAAGAAAACACATAAAATTAATTTAGTCCAACGCTTCGGAAAGAAAAAAACATCGTTTTTAAATGTTACGCACGATTTTTGGGCATAATTTCAAATCCTGGTCCACGAAAATAAGAGGGCGGTGGTACTATTAATTGTTTTCGCAGCATCGCATAGGAGAGAAATGAGCGTTTTTCTTAAAGAAACTAATGCATGGAATTAATTATGGTACTTACTGTTTCTCTCTGGTGCATGGAGAGAAGTAAAAACTATGCACAATTCGATTCATGTGCATTGGAAAGTATATTTACTTTCTTGCGAAATACCATTTGGTATAAAATCTTGTTTGAATTGCTTACTTAGTTGGATTTAATATATCAATTTGTTTACACGAGCAACTTACCGCCCGCTACCCTTAAAGCCTAAATTTATTTAGGGCAAAGGCAAATGGAAGCAATGAATTAAAGTATATAATTTCACGCTAAAGCATTCCGGCATTACATGGACAGTCACAAATTCGGTCAAAAATAGACTATGCGTTGCTAACGAGGTGGAAGTACCTATTCAAACGCATAATGACTATATTAGGGAGTTCTAGAATAACGTGCGCAATTTTAGCGCACGCTAGCGCTAAATTTAGCGCTTGTATTAGCGCATGCGACGCAAGAGAGTTTTAGAATACCGTTTCTCCACCGCGACGCAAAAGCCCAAGCAGCTCACGCTTGCGACGGCACCGAGATACAGTCACAATTTTTATTTCACACACTAAATGCTGTAACTTTAGAAACAAACAAGTTTTTTTTTGTTTCGGAGTACTATTTTAGAATTGTTTAAACATGAGAATGCGACGCGAGCGCTTGACAGGTCGTGTCCGCTTGCGTCGCCTCGGCAAGAGAGGTCTCGTGTACTGAGATACTGATCTTCGCACATCGTACCTTCGCCGAGAAATGTTCGCGCGTCGCAACCATCAAGTTGCCGAAGGTCGTTGCCAAACCGCGTACAATGTCGTCCCGTATTGAAAATCGCAGTCGCGAGAATGCCGCCGACGTCGCACTCACGACGCCGCAAAAGCAGCCGCGGACATAATCCTGGAAGCTGCCATTTTTAACTGTGCTCGTCTTGGCTTTAGCCAACTTCTCATCACGAATTCTCCTTGGAGAAGCGCAAAGACTCTTTGCGTACGCACGCTATTTCTAAGAGATACCGCACGCTAAAATTTCGCACGCAAAGCACAAAACCTGGTTTACGTTCGGAGCATACGCAGTGGCCACGACGCTATTTTTTGCGTACGCTAAGCTTTAGCGTGCGCTATTCTAAAACTCCCTATTATCTTCTCTTTCTTTAGCGACACGTCGCATAAATTAACCTAGACGTTCGTTTTAAATAAACTTTGTGCGTCTACTGTTCCGAAAGGTATTTACGAGGGCCAGCAGCATTCGACAGGTTGAGATCTGCGAATCACGATGTTACAAATTTGTTTATATTAGGTTTGTGCACTACTTCGAGTCTTATAGTGCTGAGTGAACACTACCTTTAACAAAGCAAACAGAAGCAGTATGTAGTGAATCTCCATATACTTTGTTTCTGTTGAAGTCCAGACGCTGCCGTTCCTATGCGAGCTAATGGGACCGATTGAGCAGCGTACTAACGCGCATGTTACTTGGCATTTTCTGTTTATGATTGGTTCACTGACGATAGAACACTTACAGGAACCCAACGAATGCCATGATGGCGCGCTTTTGATGCTTTCTACTTGATCCCGTCAGCTCGTACCGTCTGCTGCGTTTCGGAAATTAAAGTGAAGCGAAGTATGATACTCTGAGAGATATTGTTGACGCCTTGATATTGGAGTCGAACCACTAAACGCACAACACTACTTTAAACCTAAAAAACGGATTACGCGGTAACATTGAACACGGCGGGACGTCATTCCTTGTGCCATAGTGCAGAAAGTATTTTTTTTTTCCTGAATGCCATAGTACTTCTTTAATACGATAACATTTCTAGTGAGCTATAAACGACGATGCATGTTTATATTTGTACCAGTTTTTTCCGGTATCGGAAATTGATTAATTGCTAAATATTCAACAGTAGACAAGGTAGTTGTTCCATTATTTGGTTGGAGTCACATCAAACACACTGAGCAGCAGTTCGTAAAAAAGCATGTAAAATAACGACGTAAGTGAGATATATATATTTAATGACCATATTAATTGAGCGCCATGCTTAAATGCAAGTAGAGCTACGAAGACCAAGCCCGTCTTGCTGCGGTATACACACACACCTTTCTTTCTTTTTGGAAACTATTGCTACATTTTTGTTGAGAGCTGATTTGCTACTCGCGCCGCGCAATAATAAAAAAAAAAAAAAAACACTCTCGTACACAACAGCGAGGTTCTAATGCTATCAGTGATGTGATTGGCCTAAGGCATTTCGGAGCAGCCTTCGGAGCAGCCAAAACAGTGTTCTGGAGCAGCAAAGTTGGCTTTGGAAGCAAACAAAACCGTATGTTGGAGCAGCAAAAGTGTTTTTTGGAGCAGCCGCAAGACAGTGTTTCGCAGCCGCAAAAGTGGCTTTTGGAGCAGATATTCTTAGAAAAATAAAACTATTTGTTTTAAGCGCTGTACAACCGAAGGGCACTTTGTGTTGTGTTGTCTTCTGATGTGACGAGTTGTGTCGGAACTTGCTGCTTGTGTTTTTACTGCTGAGACATCCTACAAGTGTACAGTGCTGTAGGCATTGCCGAGCATTCCGAAAAACCGCTTGCCACCGTTTCACTGGTTCCCGACGTGCCACATTTTAGTAAAAAGTAAGCAAACGTAAATCAATGGATTGCAAGCATCCCAGCTGGTGCCTCTGTCGTGCAATCATGCTGCCATGCACGTGAAAGCAACTTCGGCAGGCTTGCAGTTGCGCGTGCTTCGTCGCGCGAGTGGAGACAACGGCTGTTCGATCGAAACCGAAACCATGCCACTCCTCTCCGTCGGCAATTGATTCCTAAAATTGTATGCAAAATGTGACTGTCAAGCATACAGCAAAAAACAGTCCAGCGGCGCGTGCTGGCCAGGCCGGCAAAAAAGGTACAAGCTAAACACATAAAAAAAGCTGAGCGCATTGATGAAAGACATTGCGAGCAAGGGTCAAAAAGATCATGGTGCACTTTGTGCAACGACCGAACTAGAGATAAACAAGCGCTCTATGCGGGTTCAGCGTGCAGATATTGCCTTATTTGCTTTAGATAATTTCTCTTCACCAACTTTCTTTCGCGGTAGATTTTTCACGTACCGCGGTCCCCCTCGAAAGAAAGCACACCGACAGAAACCTAGGTAATCAATACTCTGACACAGCAGTTTTTTAGGTTAAAGAGGAATTTTTTTTAATAACGTAGGATTTAAACAACAGGAATGTTGATGAACATGCGGTGGTACTTATTTTTATTTTAGAAAGCGCCATATTTGCATCGACGTGGGGACGGCAACACCCGACGTCGCGCGACCATGGTGACTGGAAGGCGGGGACCTATAATAGTTTCCCAAACGGCCGTTGCTTTCTGGAGCGAGTTTTTCAGCTCACAAAGTAACTCCCGCCACGTAAAAACGTGGTTTAGTTTATTAGCATGACGGCATGGCTGGTACCCGGCACGCTAGCGTCGGAGCGTCCGCACACACCGGCATCTAGCGTTGAATATATTTGAAAAAAGACGCGAGACGATACCCACGAGGCGACGAGAGTGCGAAGCGCGAGACGGTGGGAGAACCATGTCAGACCGGCACCGGATGGACAATGGATGCAGGGTACTTTGTGTCGGGCGACTGCTTGCGCCACATAACACACGCACACTCATTACGATACTCAATTTAGTTTCGGTTTTGAAAGGCGACCGAAATTGGTTTTTTGGCGCAGGCTTGGCGCAGATTACCCATATTTTGGCAAACTGTAGCAGGATGTAGCAGGGTTAGCCCTTTGGCGCAGTTTGGCGCAATTGGCGCAACAATCACATCATTCTCATATCGTTCTTAGAATGAGCCTGTCACTTCACCCATTTGTATGTAAACACACAATGACTTAGCAGTGACAAACGGAAGACACATCAGCAATCTGGTACTTTTTTACAGCGGAGCTGTTAAGGGCTAGGTTTCCCAGGGTCGTGTCCGGTACCAAAGAACTGTCGACACAAACCTTCACGAACCTCTGGATAGCTACCGCTATCTATAAGCGACGGCGGCAAACAGGGAAGCAGTCTGGTTGCCGCCGTCGCTCATAGATGGCGGCAACCTTTTCAGCTATCATAGAAGCATGGATAGTTTGGCGAGTTGGTGGGAACTCATCATGGAAAACAGAGCGAAAAAAAGACGAGGACGAAGAAACGCACCTGACGAGCTCAGCGCACGTCAGGTGTGTTTCTTATTCTTCCTCGTCTGTTTTGCGCGCTGTTTCCTACGCTCTTATCAGTTTCGGTTTGGACTCACGATGGGTCGGCCGCGCGCCCTTTCTTCGAGGAAAGAAGACCGGGTGCGGAAGGAGCGGCGACGTACGCAGCGGCACGAATGGGTCCGCAACAGCCGCGTGCGTCGAGTGCTTCAGATTACCTTGCGAAAGAAGAGCAGAAATCGTTTGCCTGCAGAGCCTCCGCCGAGAACAGAAGCTACAGCTCCGCTGCTCTTGCTTCTTCACCAAAGTGGAAAGGCTGAAAGTTTTGGTAGAGCAAATCCAAATCTCTCCTGTTTTTTTTTTTGAAAGCCTGCAGTAGTGTTATACGTATAAAAGGAAAATTCTACCATTGGAACATCAACCTGTCAATGTTTCCATTGCCTTAACACAATTGCTAATTTTCGGAAGTTCAGATCGGATACGTCTGAATGAGGAAGACCGAGAGCATATTGGTTGCCTTAGATTACAAACACACACACACACATTTATTATATATATATATATATATATATATATATATATATATATATATATTTGTTGCTTCATTTTTTATGGTTCGTTATTTTCCACCTGAGACCGTTTAGTAACATGGAATCAAAAAAGATAATTATAAAGACCTTTGCAAGAATCTCCTTCCGCGCGCTGCCATCTTTTTCTGTTGGGCTGTGGAACGCCTTCTGAGCTTGCGTTATAGCTCTGTCTTGCAGCGTATCAGACGCTGCGCATGCGTCCACAGCTCAGTGACTCAGCATTTTTCGCCCCGGTGATAAGCGCTGGAAAGGTCCATAGGGCCTATTTTAATGCTCTTGTGCATTTCTCTGTATTGCCAGTTTTACATAATTGCGGGTAGGGCTCATTCGTCATTAGCCTTGAATTGCCAGGCAATAGTTTGTGAGTCAGTTAAAAACGAGCTGGCCCGTATGGACTAATTGTTATAAAATGTAAATTGTATCAGATGTTCGCGCCACATGTAATTGTAACTCATTTTTGATTTTAACAAGTCCCCTTGTCAAATGTTTTCTCAAAGAAGGTAATGCCTTGTAATGTCTTCTTTCTATCGTCACCTTAGCCATATTTTTAAACTCCAGGAGGATTTAAATTACTAAAAAATGATGTTTCATTGCAAATTATATTTAAGTATATTATAATTTAATTCTCAAGATTTTGAGGAAGGTTTTGAGAAGAGATATAGAAGGAATATAGCATACAACTATATTACAAATATCTAACAATATTATACTCGTTTGTAGCTTAGATCTTTCTTTTTATTATTTACAATAAGCACAAAATTAATCTTGAAAACTGAAGAATAGACTTGTTCGTCGACTCGATAAAGCGCTATTCTTAATTTTAAAACTATTGGTATTGTGTATGAATAACCGAGGGACATCAATGCGCGTTGAGTTCAACATGGAAATGTTGAACCGGCTAGCAGTGGCAACTGCTGTAAATAGGTTTGTTAAATGTTAACTGAATAATTTAGTTTGATTTAAGGGTGAAGCATTTGAATATAAATTAAGATGTTTATACAACTTTGAAATTTGGTTTTGTGCAGTGCCCTTCGCGCGACACCACCACGAGATGACCGCACTTCCTTAGTTTTAACTCTGCTCCAGCCACTATTCTTTGAACTAAATATGGATGTTTTAAATGTTTAATCTCTACCCTACCCAGGAAATGCATCTTTGCTAGTCAGGTCACATGTTTACTTTTTAAGTTATAGGCAATACTCATGCAACAAAGTAGCAGCGTTAAGTTTGGGCAGTACTTTACATACCTCATAGAGTGTTTCGGTGGATGCAATCTATGGTCGTCCTACGATATAAAACTTTTAATTTACCTTGAATGAGCTTGTAAGATTAGTGCTGGCTAATTCTTAAGGCGAAACCGCGCAGATATAATACACATTAGATTGGTAACGCGGAGATCAAAGCTTTTGCAAATGAACCACTGACATCTTCTAACTGGAAATGTGTGCAGGATCACCTACGCCTTTATTCATCTTTATTTCTAGATGCATTTGCGCACGAAACGTTTTGAAGGGATTATTTTTGGTTTGAAGTTAAAACAATGGTGTATATATGCTACAAATTTATGCATTTCGGACGAAGGAATAATATATTCAGTATCTTTCCTTTTACCCCCCCCCCCCCCCCCCGAAATAGGCAAGGTGCAAAAGCCCAAAATAATATATATTAGTGTATTTTTTTTTAGACAGAAATACATTTGTTGATACCTAGAAGCCTATGCCGAATTTTTTTCAGAAGTAGCGTTTGGAAGCTTTTCTGGTGGTACTGTAATCGTGTAATTCATTCCAGGTGGATTCTGCGCTCGCACAAGACGCCCTTGAGATGCTTCTTCAAGCCACAAAATTCCTGGCCCGAACAAAGTCCCTCGGATGGCCAGCTAGCGTGCGCTGTCACAGTAATCCTCTAGGAAAAACTTGGGTGCAGGCGAGAGCACTTATTGAAGCCGTCAAAAATGTAAGTGCCTTTTTTTTCTTGGCAGATGAAGTAGTTTAAATAGTTTCACGTGTGCACTAAACATATTGCCGTTTGAGACAAAAAAATCTTCATTACCTTGTGTCACAATAGGCAAAAGCGTTTCTAAAAAATATCGGCGTTTTTTCCCTCTTTTTCTCAATGTTGATGAGTAGTCACTCAACTCAACTTAGAGTCGTGGCACGTGTTCTGTAAACTATGATTCTTTCAGTATCAGTAATAAATATATCGATGACATTTCAGCTGCGGAATGTTGACAAGAAACTCTATAAGTGAGTGAGCTCTTGTCGAATTAAATGTTTTAACATTTGGTTTCAAGCTGATGACGTGAACTCTTAAAAAACACGCGAAAGAGCGGAATATTCTTGGCAACATGCATTCGTAGATAAGAATCTATAATCAGGTTCGAAAGCGACACGATTACCTGGACAAAGCAATCATCTGTTTATTTCTGCCTGTTTTTTTTTTACAACTGAGACTGTAATTAAATCAATCATACTAGCGCTTTCTATGGTGCTTCTCCGGGCACCAACTTAACGAGATTTACTGTCCGTCTATATCATCTAGAATGGAAATCCGAAACGCGGCTATACCCTGCTCGTACTTATGGTATCTGTGTCGCTGGAAACACTGGGCGCCGGCTATTTACCTTGGCTCCCGAAGTCGTTCAATTTCTGTAGACACATTCTGTGAGAACCGGACGAAAATAAGCAAGCAAAATAAGTCTTCCGGATGATGGCTGAATTCACCACAGTCAGCTTTTAAGCGGGTGAAATGACAAATTTGATGATTAGAGTTTTGTCACAAATAGCATGGCGCTTAGTGCTGTGCATATACGATCTGTGTTGTGAGAAAATTTATTTTCACCCGGCTGGAAAACCTGCAGCTGGTGAATTTATTTTTCATGGCCACCCTTTGACACGTCCTTCACCTTTTGCATTCTACATTTTGCGGGCAGTGCACGAGAATGTGTTTTAACGTGCCAATGAACAGCCCCTGGAGAAATACATTTACATCGGTCGGAGTGGATTATTCGAAAGGATTTCTTGCACAAGATTGTTTTTCTTACTAATTATTTGGGGCATTAACTCGGGGTTCGCTTTTGTCTCCAATGAGGGATTTTGTTTTTGCCCGGCTCAACGAATGTTTACTGTGAAACTCTACGCTGGTGTATACTCAGCTTCGAAAAACATTGAACAGGTTGTTTTGAGAGAAGTAAGGGATACCTCATTTGCCTCAATTGTCCTGGACGTAAACGTTGATTGGAAATAAAGGTGGGCAAGCCTTTCGCGCTTGACGACAGACAACGAGACCTGTGGTAACCAGAGACAAATATCCCAGCATTCATATCCTCTACTTCTATGGTCCTCTCTCGAGCCTTACACTGTGCCATCCCTGTGCCATCGTAGTCAATCCTTGTGTCAGTGTCTGCAAATTGTGAGTGAATGGTGTATGTGGTTTTTTTTTTTTAGTATGAGTACATTCGTCTATGTTTTTCACTGTAGTCAAATATAGCATTGTTACTTTTTCGCTAAGACAGTGTTTTTTATTTGTCAAGTGTATGCAGGTGTGGTGTTTCTTATTTTGCGGGACTTGTGATATGCGGATGAATAATACTTTTCAAAAGCTTAGAGCCCACCGCGCCCGTGGCCGGATTGTGCTCGCTCCCGTGGAATGGCGCTCTTATCGTCGGCTCCTGCTGGTTACGAGACTTTTCAGAGCGACGGGAAACTTCGCTCTCTCGTCGCGCTTGCCTTGATAACAAAGTGACGCAAAATAGCGAGAGCGAAGTTCCCCCTCGCTCTCGACAATCTCGCAGCCAGCGAGCACTGACGATAAGAGCGCCGCGGTACGGGAGCGAGCCCGCTGCAGCCACACCCGCGGTAAACTATTAACATTTGAAAAAGAAAGTAACTTGTAAACCTTTATTTAAAAATGCAAATATAAACAAAAGCATTAAATATGCAAAAAATCTGGACAAACATTTGAAGATGAATCTCCGAAATTTCACATAAAAATGCCAATAATAGAAAAAAAGTTTTAACCTTTAAGCGGAATTTTGATCAGGTTGAAGTAATTGTATACATACATTTCTATCTTGATTCGATTTCAGTTTAGCGGTAAGAGGAGGTTTTCTGTGCTTCATTTAACAACAATTTTTTTTTCTGTTGTCTTTTTAGTTTTGTGTACCGTGTGATTCCGCGCGTTATTCTGACTTTATTTCATCGATTGGAGCACTATTTTGCTGTCATAGTAACCGACCGAGAGATGGACAGACTGACACCTGATTTACAGACTCATCACGACACCCCGTCTTATCCGTTTGGATATGAATCACTCCGGCGATATGTAATATCTCGGAGCGCGATGACAAAAAAAAAGTAAAAACAAAGCGGTGAGCACAGCGGTTGAGGGGTATGTTTTGTCCTGAAGATCGTAATTGGACTCACTTGCAAATCGCAAGTAAGGGGAATCATAGTTTATGCTTAGTTTCGAAGACAAGCTTCTATGCCCTTGGCGACGCCATTTTTAAAACAGTTGTCGCTGGCGCTAGGTACTTTTTCTCACATAGAACCCGTAACATGCCGTAACCACAAAACCGCTTATACCCGCCGGGAAGCATGGTGGCATTCATGAGCAAACCACCCCTGATGTCAAAATTCTGCACATTACTAAGAAAGAAGTAGAGGACACCCTCCCGCGGCACTACCGCTCTCCTGGATTTGGTGGACAAACACTTCAATAACTAACATTCATATTGTATTCCTTGTCGAATTGATACCGTATTCCTGTGGTGAGGAAGAACGCTCATGATACTTGCAGCCGCTTGGATTGTTTTTATTCCTCAGTTTTAGGCTTTGTCTAAATTGTTTTTATTTTCTATGTACCAATCACAAGGTCTTCTACAAACGACCAAAATTGGTGGTGCGCTAAAGGTGTGAGCTACGTGATTTAGGAACCCCAATGGGTGATTTGAATATATAAGGATATGTAGCATTCTTTAACACAACACATGCATCTGGCCAAAGTCCTCACTTGGCGAATCTTGAACGTTTTAAGACATCCGAGAGTGCTGCCCCTCATGCAGTCCTGCACTCGCCTGTTCGTCATAACCTTGCTGGGTGTGCAGCACGTGAGCTGGATTTATAAGAAATTCAACCACACTAGATCATGGGGGTCTCTATCGTGTTGTTGTTGTTGTTGTTCTTTTCCTGGTAGGGGTGTTTGTCAGGGGGATACTTATCTGCGACTTTATTCAATGCCGTATTTAATAACTTTTGTGAGCGACCCCTGCAGTTTTTGGGGTTGGATTGGAGCAAATGTTCGTTCTTGGCATTGGTTGACACTTTATATTTGATCCCAGAGACTGCCAGTGGGCTCCCAAGTGATTTTTAGAACGCAGCTCTTAGGCACCCGTTTCCGCGCTTCGTGGTGTCGCCGTCGGCGTAACCATCGCCGCTAAATTATTGAATTGGTATTGACGTCATGTGATATCAATTTCTCTGCTGAATCTACCGGAGAAACTGAATTTGTTCATGGGCGACGATACGTGAAGTTAGTGTCACGTCATTTTCCCTTCTGAATTTAGCTGGGAAACTGAATTGGTGTTGAGGTGACGTGATGTCAATTTGCCCGCAAAATCAAGCGGAGAAACTGATTTTGTTAAAGGGTGACGTTACACGAAGTCAGGTGACGTCCTTTTCCCCACTAAATTTAGGGGGGAAATTGAATTTGTGTTGAGGTCTAGTAGCATCAATTTTCCAGCTATAGTAAGTAAGGAAACTGTAGGAGGAGGGTAGGCTAAGGTGGACGAGGATGGGAGGGTACGCAGGAGGAGGAGGAGAGGCTACAGAGGAGGAGGGGAGGAGGAAGAGGGAAGGAGTAGCAGAGAATGGGAGTTAAAGGAGGAGGGAAGAGCAAGAGGAAAAAAAGAGGAGGGGAAGAGGAGGAGCAAAGAAGGAGGGGAGAAGTCAAGAGCTGCGACCTAATTTCGCGTTACAGAGATTTCTTTTCATTTTTTTAGAGATTTCATAAGCTTTTGCTAAAGAAGGGTGTGAAAGTAAAACTCTTCAAGTTCTTTACATTCCGCACAACGGGCGATATAAATATTGAGGAGGCTAAGACCTGCCACAACAGGCTCTAGCATTTATGGTAAGCCCTCGCGCGTGATAGTTTGCACGGAGTCATGGAAGCACTTAGGTGTCAAAATTGACACTTCTGGGGAAATCACATTGAGGGGTTAGCATGGAGGGCCTTCTGCGCCGGATTAAAAACTGTCCCCTCAAATCTCAGCTAACGCTGAATATTTTTGTATTTTATAATATTTCACAGCCTTGGTTTACAAAAAAGGTGACAGAGATAATCAAAGGTAAGAAAAGAGCTATTATCTCCGATATCGAAACAAAAAGTGTATATCCAATGGGGGGAGCTTAGGGTGCATGAACGCTCTTTTTAAGGCTAAATAATTGATCTCAAAGCCGTGTAATATAAACTGCTCGAAACTAAACTTATGATGGAACCCTGAAGAATTCCAGAAGTTCGTAAAAGCAAATAAAGAAGTGATTCATCTGTCCCACCACTTTGAATAAACTACGAACTTATTGAGGATGATAAAATAATTATTTGCAATATTTTTGTTTTGTACCTTCTACATCAATATGTTACTAAAATGTGCAGAAGACAATGAAGCATGCTATGACACCAATGGAGATAGCCTACAATGGAATAGTCCTGCTGTTACGAGAACTTGATGTGCAGAAATCAATATGGCCAGAAACCATGTCTCCAGTTATATCGAAAAACTGCTCTGAAGAGTTGTCGAATTACTTGCGTGCTCTTTTAAACAAATCAATATTAGATTTAAAAAAGAAAAAAAAAACTTTCATTGTATTGGAACCTGGCAAAAGGGTTGAAACACAGGTCCGGTGCTAAAAACGTTGTAGAAAACTGTAGATCTATTCCTTTAACGTTCATTTCATGCC